GCAATAATAATCCTCTCCATTTATTGAACATCGAATATATTAAAATGTGTTTACATATGGGGAGGAGAGCAGGGCAGGAAATCATGCCTCCAATTTAGGAAACTAAGGCTCACTTGGCCAAGGTCATGTAGCTAGAAAAGTGTAAATTAAGAATTCAGGCATCCTTAATGAGTCCAAAAATTTGCATCCCTACAGTTTGATAACCCTCCAAGATACTCATCCTTTTCTAATAGTCTTCCATTGGTTCAAGTCAAGGATCCTAAATCTTACAGCCTCAAGGAGTTTCTGAACTTTCCTGAACTTTTGGGTGCTTAGTACAGTAAGTATGCATGTACTGTTACCATACTGCCCAAAGCCTAAAGAAATCAGGCTAGGACTAAAGAAAATCAGTGATCCGAAAAAAAATCTAATAAACTCAGCCTTTCTTATTCATTCTCTTTGAAGGAACATTTGTATCTGAGGATACCAGGGTAAATTGTTGCAACAGGGACACTTTGGATTATATCATGTTATTTATACATAGGCAAAATAAAATGGAGAATTGAGACAAATAGGACAAATAGTCCCAAATCCACTATAAAGGTAAAAGAAACTGATTTAGAATAAAAAATGGTCCAGAGCAAAAGTGTCCAGTAATTGAGTTATCTGAATAATTTTGTCAGCTCTCAATTTGTCACAATAATGGCAAATATTTATTGAGAGCTTACTAATGTCATAGGCATTGTTCAGAGTTCAATTAATTGGCTGAGTTAATCTTCCTCCAGACCCTATAAGAGAGGTTTTACTACTATGGTCACATCAGCTCAGAGAAATTATAGTATTTGCCCAAGTTAACACAGGTTTAAGTGCTAGAAACAAGATTTTATCTGAGGTCTGTCTGGTTCGTAGCTCCTAACTACTATGCCCCGCGATAGCAGAATAGTAGAAACAACGAAAATTTGGTAGGCAAATAAAAGCAGTAGAATGTTTACCATAGCCATAGAACTATGCTATTTATAAACCTCTGAACTTGCTGAGAGAAAATATCTAATCTCAAAGATGGGAAAACCAAAGTTTCAATCTCAAAGAATTCAGGCAGTTTATGAGTTAGAAAATAATGGAACACAGCTCTCAGCTTAAGGCTGAATACACTTCAGTCTTACAGCATTAGTTATATCTATTTAAACACTGACTCTCTCTGGTCCAGGAAGACAATGCTCTGTTTCTCCTGATCCTTTTGCTATTGGATCTGGCCCTGTCAGATTTTAAATTCTGTTCTTAGAATGGAACTGTCAGTCCTTTTGAAAGCAACCTTGGGTAATAATAAATTTGCACAAGATGAGCAAGTAAATAGTCATCATGGGGGCAAAACACAGTGGATAGTGGATTTGTGTTCTGTTGGAGATTGGGTGTTTACTACATAGCAGTGGATTTCATAAATTCCAGGGTCAGGCATGTTTCTAGTGGCGGCACCTCAGCTATATGAGAAGATGCAGGATTAGGTAATCAGCAATGAGGAAGTCAGCCAAGTTGCCACCCAGAAATTACTTACCACAGCAGCTGCAGTCAGAAATGCTAACAAGCCAGGCTCCCTAGGAGGGGGCCATACTCAGCTGTGGACCACTCACAGCATTTTCTAACTTTACTTTGCTCCAGAATTGGGGACTATATGTACTGCAATGGTTTTTTCTTTGCTTGCTTGCTATATATGTTTAAAATTGTCTTCCTAAAAAACCAAATGTACAATTAATATTTGCTACCAAGAGGGTGGAGTGGTACCTTATCATGTAGGTATATGTTCCAGTTTATCTGTGCTGAGGGTAAACAGCCTCTTACATTATAAAAAATTTATTATTATTTACAAAAATTGAAGCTTAAAGGATAGTTTACCTTAAATGCTTAACAGAAAAGAAGCCAGTTTCAACAAACCAACTTTTACGTATAATTTAATACTATTTTATTAACCCATGGCTAGTATAGTTCTTAGAATTATTTCTCAATTCTCTAAACAGCTTAAAAGAGAGAAATGATTAACTCCTTTTTTATTTACTTGCTTTGAAATTGATACTCCTTGGTTTTTACATAACTCTAGCTCTTATAACTTCTCTTACAATTAAAATCCTTGTTGCTTCCTTTACAATTAAGGATTATTTCTATTTTAGTCTCTCCCTCAATCAGTTACCAAAAGGAGGACTTACCACTTGGGAAGAGAAAGATAACACCCTCTCTCCAGTCCTCTTTCCCCAAAGTTTCCCATATTTCCCTTCTCTAATGTCATGATGAAAAGCTAGAATGTTCTCACTAAAGTAATTTTTCACTCTTAAGAACAAATATCCCAACAAAAATCTGCAGTAGTAAAAATACATAAAACAATGAAGTAATTAATATTCACAGTAGACTTGCATCACATATGAGGGTACTTCAAAAATCTGGTGGAAAAATAAAAGTTAAAGATAATATGAATCTTCCCATAGAAGTCTTCTTGTATGTTTCACAAGCATCAGTTTTCTTAAAAAGTATACAACTTTCAAATATGGTGATTTAATGTTTTTACTAAATTTTTAAAAATGTTTTCCCAACACTAAAGAAAAATCAAGCTAAGTTTGGTAACAGAACAAAGCTCTAAATGCTGCTCTGAACCACCTGACTCACCACGTGATGCTGAGCATGTTACCCTCAGATGTCTTTTCACCAACATCACAGCTAATTAATCTTCCTAACCTTGTGGAATTATGATGTAAATAACAAGGATGAACATAAGACATATTCATGGGAATATATGAGGGTGACATTATAAAAAGTCAAATCTTCTCCTTTTTAAATATCATTAACTATTACTACTAGCCAGAATGTAATTATTATCCCCTCATATAAATATGATGCTATCAAGTTTACAAAGTGCTTTGGTATAAGTCTTCTTAATTCATCTTCATGGTTGCTATTTATTCACACAACAAATAACTCTCAGTGCCTGTGGCATCATGCTTAATGCCAGTTCTACAGAGGCTAGAACAGACTCAGAGAGGTTAAGTAACTTGCCTAGGTCCCCTGGTTGTCCAGGGCTCCTAAAGCAATGGTTTCCTAATCCTTTGTCTTTCCATCAAACAGAACTGCCCTAGTTTCTATCAATCCCTCATCACTACATAGTGTGATGGACTAATTTCAACTATAATGTTAATGATTGATAATGGCTTTATATGTTCTGCTTCCCAAATAATAAGAGCATTTTAACCTAAGCCTTTATTGCTTGTGAAATAATCATAGACAAATGAGAAGAGTAATGTGACAGGGAGATTGAACAAAGATTTGGTGAAAAGGGAAAGGAGGGGACAGAGTGGTTTGAGATCCCTCAAATCATATGATGTAGTAGCTGCCTGACTACTCTGTTCACGCTTAAAACTAGGTAGAGATAGGGCCATATCTACTTCCTGTATGGGACCCGTGTCAATACTGCAGTCTAGCAAAGGGGCTATCATAGTTGCATGTGACCCATTCCCCACCCCCTACCCCGTGCAGTTCCTATAATCTCATTAATCACACTTTTCCAGGAGAGAAATGGTGCCCTCTCACACCTCATCGAAAGTATTTCCTGGAGACCATCTCCTTAGGCAGTGCAGAGAGTGAGACCACATGATTCAAGCAGTCATTTGATTCCAGCTAAAAAAAAATCTTTCCCTGAAATTATCTAAGAAATTATCCGTTCCTTCTGACTTGCTTTGAAGACAGTTAATGGGAAAATTTCCTCCCTCTGCACAGTGAACAAATTCATTCACTATTCCTATCCTGAGGCAAATACTCCCCCTCGCTTTCTCTCTGTTACCAACCCTCACTTGGCAATATCCTCCTCAACCACTGGCAGCTCCAATGAGGCACACTCATTATATAGCAACATAAAAGATAAAAGGTAAATCTGGGCCACTTTCAGGAAAATTAGATTAAAACATGGAAGTTCAGGAGAAACAGGAAACAGGGTTAAATCTCTCAGATTTAGCTGTCCACATTAATTGAATTTTCCAAATAATCATTTGGGTCTCGCGGACACCAGCTATTCCTCTGATCCAAGATATTATCTAGCAGCCTCTAATGCTTCTTCTCAGTCTTCTACTTAACAGGACAGAGTAAGGCACACAAACAAAATGATAATGTTTGTATAGTCCTCTGGTGTTAACAGCTGGAAATTTAGAATCTCTGATTAAGTCAGAGAAAACGTACTTCAGGTCTTGCTTGTCCAGATACCAAGAGAGCTGAGGAAATCAATATTGTGGTTACCAGCTAGGCAGCTTAATCCTCTTAACCCGTAGTCTAATGTCCTCTTACCAAAGTGCTGTCTCATCTCACCCTCAACTCAGTCAATCCACTCCGTCTTCCTTTCCCATCCCAATCACTGGCCCATCAATCAGGATAGCCCTCCCCTCCAGGGAAGGTGGCATTCCCCCTAAATTGAACTATTCCTAACACTAAAAATGCCTAAGATTCTGGCTTAAAAGTATATCTGCAGTCTTTTTCAAAAACAAACATGAATTTCTCAAGGAACAGAAATGTTCTCAGCCCCTACCCTTTTCTCCATAACATCATCCTCCACCCTATTGAGCCAGAGCTAGAAGGCACCCTTCTGTAGTGGAATGTGTGGAAACTACCTGACTCAGAGTCACCTGGGGCGCTTGTTTAGAAATGCAAATTTCCAAGCTCCCCCTTTCACTTACTAAATCAGAATCACAAGGGTGAGGAATGGAATCTACATGTTAAACCAGCTCCCCAGGTTTGTTCCACACCAGTTCCACACTAGAGTTTGAGAGCCTCTGACAATCCAGCCCCCTCCCTTTACAGAGAAGGAAAGCAGAAAACAGCCACAGGAGAGGTGAGATGGGCTTGTCCAAGGTCACACGGCGGTAAGGGGACCAAACCTGGACGGAACCGCGCCTCTCTCGCTGACTAGCACAGAGCGGGCTAGGAAGAGCCTGGAACAGTGAAGGGTCGACCAACCAACCCGTGCCCCTGCCCCTGCCCCGGAGCGCACTCACCCGCTTGTAGATGTCCTCCCGGCTGGCCTCATACTTCTGTTGCATGCGCTCCTCCAGGAAGTAGATGCGCAGCTTGAGACTGAAGTTCTCCTTCTTCAGGTCATTGAGGTGCTGGGACAGAGTGCGATATCCATTAGACATGGTGGGCAACCCATGGGGAGGAGCATGCCAGAGCGCCCCCTCACCCCAGGAACATGGTGCAGCTGCACCGCCGCATGAAGCGAGCCGGCTGGGACGCTGCTGAGGCTGGGGAATGGACCGGGAGGCCGGGGCTATGGCGACATGGCCCCAATCGCGGCGCTCCCTGCGGGACTTGGGACTCGGCTCACTGCTGTGGGTGCTGGAGCACAGCGCACTTTCCTTTTTTACCTCGGGGAGATATTTGCGGAATCCCTGACAGAGGAACATGCTGCCTGAACTCAGACACAAGTGGTGTAACCCGACTCCAAGCCAGGACTCGGCTGTCACCCTCCTGGAGCCTCCCAGGCCCAACTGTAGGCAGTTAACAGCTTCTCAGGAAAACAGAGGGGACTGACCCCCAGAAGCTTCCAGGAAACAGGGAAGGGGAGTAAGTAAAGGTGGCAGCGAGGTTGCAAAGAAGAAAAGGAAATAAATGGGTGGGGTGAGGTATTTAAGCTCCTGGTGGCTGATTTGGACAATAAAACCCAAAGGAGTGTGACCAGAAGCAAGACATAAGGTTGCCATAGAGAAGAGCACATGTACAAAAAAATGGCCCACAAAATGGTGACCACATATCAAATATCCCCTTTCTGCCAGGTGCAAATCTGAAGGAACTACTAACCAGAGGAGTCTCCAATTTCCTTTGATGATCCAGAGCTCACCTCTAATCAGTTCCTTCCCAGTTTTCCTCCCCATGCATTTCAATCCTTGAGGCAGTTCAATTCATAGACTTTGTTACCATTAGCCTCCGCCATACACACCACAGCCACCCCCAAAGAAAGAGCAAATCTCCTAGCTCAGTGGAATCTTTGCAAACGCTGTTTACCGGTTACACACTCACAAAGAGGCAGGGTCAAGGGTTCCTCCCTCCATGGAAGAAGGGATGGGAAGAAGAGAATGTGGGAGAACAAGAGGGAGGGAGCCGTCATCCTGGAGCCCAGAGATTTCAGCCAGTCCCTGGTTCTTAACTCTGGCACCTGCCAAGTGGAGCCAGGCACTCATCACCAGATCCTGCTCATAAAGCAGTTTAAGATCCTTGAGTGACAGCTGCAACATTAGCAGGAAGTATTATTTATACCATATCACAGGGGACATTGAAGGTGACTGGGAGACAACCGCACAGCACAGATACTAAACACAGTTTCTTTGATGCAGTAGTACTAGGTTGAAAAAAAAATTAATATTAACATCCAAGGTAAAGGAAACTAAAAAAGTTTATACTGAATTTAAGGACTCAGTTCCTCCCCAGCCTACCTACTTTTCATTCTTCCAATTTCTTCTCAAACCTTCATAATAATTACAGTCAAAATCTCCTGAATACCCAGCAGGTAGTATACTGGGGATGGGGGATACAAAGATGAAGACAGTCCCAACCCTCAAAGAGCTACCTGGCCATACAGCTGATTGTTACATGTTAAGATATGTTTTACACTATAATCCTCCAAATCTGTATCTTTCAACGTTTTACATTTTGCACTGCAATACACACACACATACTTAACTGAAGTAACTGGTTCACAAAGCAGTTGTCACCATCACTATGTGTGATGCACTCTGACATTTTCTATTTCCCTCTCTGAAAGAGACCTGCTAAATTGATTTCATGACCCACCAATAAATTTCAGCCTGCAATTTGAAAAACATGGACTATATGGTAAACAGAAGAAGGAGTGATCGGTTCTTACTGGGGTGATCAGAGAAAGTTTCACTAGAAGTTGGATTTGCATTTTGCCTTGAAAGATAGAAAAAGTCTGAGTATAAATAAAGTTGCCTCAGGAGGATATAACTAGAACTGAGCATTCTCCCAAATAGATTTAGATTTTAAGTTGGCAACACACTTCTTACCACAGACAGTTGATAATTTAGGCCAAAATAATCTTTATTTATTTATTTTTTTAAATCTACACATTTAAAACTCATTTAACTATTTCCATTAACTCTGTACTCTTAGAATAAATGAATGTCATTTAGACTTAGTTAGAGACGGAGAAGAGAAGAGAAAAGTCTAAACTAAAACTCAAGAGATCCTTTTCTGGCCCCAGTTCTGTTGCTAAATAGCTGTGTGACCTTGGAGGTACACTTCTCTGGAGGCCTAAAGAGAAGAGAAGAGAAAAGTCTAAACTAAAACTCAAGAGATCCTTTTCGGGCCCCAGTTCTGTTGCTAAATAGCTGTGTGACCTTGGAGGTACACTTCTCTGGAGGCCTAACTGTTCTCATTTATAAAATGAAATGGTTGAAAATAAGGGTTTTTAAGGCCCTTTCCTGGTCTAAGCTCTTAGAAGGATAACCTAGTTATTATCACCTCCATTTGGCTCAAGGGGAGCCAGGCTGCCAGATTCTAGATTAGTGCTTAATCATGCTTTGGCTATCTACTTGGATTCCTTTATCATGTAAGATAATTTAATAAAAGTTTCATGGGAAGTAAAACTGCATATGAATGTAGGGTATTCTTATCCAACCTAGATCTTTCTGCACATTTAGGCCTATTTCCTGTTATGCTTCGTGATACGTTGTTCTTCTATCTCTCTGGCCCCATTTCTGTGTTTTTGTTGGCTCCTTAAAATGGGTACTTAAATGATGGTAATTCCTTAGCCTTCTATTTTTTTTCTCTTCACACTCTTTTCCTTAAAGGTTTTATCCACTTTTAGTGCTATAATTTTACCTCCCAAACAACCCCCAAATCTCCAATCAAGTTCTCTCATCCAAGATCTATCCCTACATATGCAACTTTTTGCTAGATAGTTCAACTTGAATATCCCATTGTCATAACAAACAGCAACAGCAAATACTTTTGCAATAGTTCCTATCATGGCTACCAGAATCAACTCCAGCCATCTGTTCTCCATATTATAGCCAAAGTAATGTTTTCAAAACTCAGATCTTATCCTGTCATCTTTCTTACTTAAAACCCTTCACTGGCACTCATCTCTCTCAGAGTAAAGAGAAAACCCCATCACATCTCTTCAAGACACCCTGCCTCTTTCTTTTTCTTTTTTTTTTTCCAAGTCTTAGTTTGAATTCCATCCATGCAAAGCCTTCCTGCTATCCCAGCCTGAAAAGGCTTCTTCCTCTTTTGAACTCCTAGGGCAAATATTAATATTTGGCAAGTGTTCATATGCTACCTTATGACATTGCTTTTATTATCTTGTAGGGTTATCTACACCTTTAAGAGTTATATGACTTTTCATTTGTTTGATCTCTACAACTGGTCTGAGGCTACCCAATGAAGGGATCGATAACTTATATGTATGTCTTTATAAACTCCTATAGCTTTCATAACAACCTAAGACCTCTTCAATAACATCTATCCTACTGTGCTGTCAGAGCCTGTTTACAGTCACCTGAACCAGACTAGAGTGTTCTGATGGCTAGCAAGGTATATTTTGTGTCCTTGTGTTCTTTTAGAACAGTATTTAGGAAAAACTCCCTAAATTTCTGTGGAATTAATGAATAGATAAGTCTTCCATAACTATTACATATTTTGCTTTGTTATATATGGGCTAGCTCACCAGTATTATTCTCATAAACTTCCAATAACTTTCTTTGGATTATTATCCAAAGAAACTACATTTGCTAGATTGGTTATTCTAGAATGGTTAGAAAAACGATGTTTTGTTCACTTAAATTTCTAAACTTATAAGCCCATCCTGACCTCTTCCCTGAATTCCAATTTATGTCTAACTTTCTAATAGAAATCTCCACTTGCATATAGACATCTCATACTTGAGATATCTAAAACTGAACTGTCTTCCCCAGCAAACATGCTCCTCCCTCATTGAACCCCATTTTAAGTTGTAGCAATTCAATATTTGCAGTTGTTGGGGCCAAAACATTTGAGTCTTTCTTGACTCATTCTCTCTCTATTTCTACCTTCAATGTGTGTGTGTGTGTGTGTGTCTGTGTGTCTGTGTGTCTGTGTGTTCCATCTACCACCACTGCTGATGGTACCGCTACCACTCTGGCCCAAGATACTATTATCTCTCCCCTAAGTTATTTGAATAGCCACCTTAACTGGTCTCCCTGCTCCCACCCTTGTTCCCCTATAGCACCCTCCCTCCTCAGGGCCTCTGAGCTTATAGATCCTTCTGTCTGGTGTGCTCCTTCTCTCAACAGTTTTATGATTCTCTTTCTCACCTTCTTCATCTTTGGTCAAATGTCACCTTCTCGATGAGATAAACACCCTATATAAAACTGTAAGCCACCCATGCCTCACACCAGCACTCCATATCCCCCTTCTTTATTTTTTATTCTGTTAGCACTATCACCTTCTAAAATATTGTTTACTTACTTATTTTGTTTCTTATCTGTCTCTCCCTACTAGCATGCAAACTCCATAAGAAAGCTGGGATTTTTACCCGTTTTGTTCACTGCATACCACCAGTGCCCAGAATGGTGTCTGGTGCATAGCAGGTGCTCAATAAATATTTGTTGAATAAAAGAATGGATAAATAATTACCCTGATGACTTCTCTGGCCTCACTGGATTTCTAATAAAAATCAATCTGTATATAAGATTATGCAGATGTTTTCTGATCAAAAACATACCTAAAAGCATTCTTTCTTATAAGATAACTTATTCTATCAGACTCATTTTGATATATAATGCAGAATCTGGACTTTCTGTAACAGTTCTGAACAAATGGGGAGTAATATATGACGAATTACTCAAAGGACAATATGAACTGTACAGATAATAAAAACTATAGAAATTAGGAAGGTGAGGTTGTCAGGAAAGGTTCCACAGAGAACTGACACTTTAGTGCTCCTTAAAGGATGAATCAGGTTTGGATAGGCAATCCGGGCAGGCAGAACATAAGCAAAGGTGCAGAGGGCAAACCAGACTGAAATAAAGGGCACAAGCTATCCTGCCATAGAGGAACAGCAATGATGGGAAGTGAAGAGAGAACTTGAAAAGTCAGGGTGAGAATGCTTGAATCTGCTCCTCTAAGCAGACCCCAGCTC